ACAGAAACTGATCGTGCTGCTCATTATATTAGCTTCTTCTATTTTTATAAAAAAAGAAAAAGAAACCCTAATATGCCGATCGGCACGATCGGCTCCATTAAGATCTTTATATGCAATTTGCTTCGTCGAAATTCTCTCTTTGAGTTTGTGTAGAAACGTCGAGCCTTTAAACACTTTAGTGAAAATAAAGGTTGGAACGAAATCAAATGTAAGAACAGAAACGTAAACGAAGCTTCTAGAAGGCGAAAATTGAAACAGTGAAACGTAAAAGAAGGGTAAACGCTCTTTTACGTTTCGTTGTCTCAATTTTCACCTAGAAACTTCGTTTACGCTTCTGTCACTCTCTCTTTACATCCGGACTCTTTTTACATCGGACCTACACTCCGATTTTTATTTTCACCAGGGCACCACGCGATCACAAATAAAAACGACAAATAGCAGTGAGAACAATTCAAGCGGAAATTCTTGTCGCGACCACCGATTGAATTTCGGAATTCGAGCGATAGGCAACTCTAATCGACGCTGATCTATTTCGAGTTTCCAGCCAGACACACCGCGGACGGTTCAGGCCGGCTGGATTCGAGCCCGATTCGAGATGCGGACGAGGGTGATGCAGGTGCGAACGAGAGACCAGGATTGCGGCCTGCCGGGCGGAAGACTGATTGGCCGACCCAGATGCATACCGTTATCATAAATCTGCTCGAAATCCTCCGTAACCGCGCGGATATACATTGCGCTACTTCCTCGCTCGGGTCTGCTTCCCGCACACACCGTCTGGAGTCTGTGCATTCTTCGTGCCGTATTTTCGCGTCAAAGAGAAATCACGGGATAAATTATATCGAGCCATTCGTTGCGTTCAGCAAAAGAAAAGAACTTTTCAACTATTATATTATAAAATTCTTTAATATAGATTAGTTTATATATTTTAATCCAGTGAGGAACTCTAAGGGCAAGCTCAATTTTAAATAACGCTTGTTACACAAATTGTATAGCAATAAAACACAATATTTAAAAGAACCGAGCAAAAAAAGTTAAAATATAATTATAACATATTTATTTCGTATTTTTATTCGTAGAAAAATACGAAATAAACATGTTATAATTATTTTTTCTCGGTTTCTTGCTCGGTTATTTAATTGTTTAAATTGTATTTTATAAAATCAATCATATTAAGAAATTTTATAACAATTGCAAAACTGCTTTTTTTGCTGAACACAGTCAAGCACCGGGCACACATAGCTTGCGTTTTAAATGCGAAATCTAATCAGCCAATGACGAAGCAAATAAATCGGCTCACTGAAAGAAAGTTCGATATGAATAATCATTTATTTTGTTGATATGTGACTTATATATATAAAAACTTTCTTACCTTTTAATTTAAAAATTGTCATTTTAATCAAAACGTGATTAGAATAAATAGTTAATTATATAAAATATTATTCATATCAAATATTTCTCTCAATATTGTTGCTCTACATATTTCAACGAGTATATGAGAAAAAGGAAAAACTTGATGTATCGTCGAGCGTGTCACGTAATGAATTTGACTCTTAGCGTTTGAGACCGACGAGTTGGGGACCACATCGTGCAACTTACGAAATTACTCCGCTATACGGATCAACGATAAGAGCTTGAAGACTGACGTTGGTTGCGATAAAACTAAATATCGCATATCTAATAGCACTGAAAAAATAAAATTTAGTTGAAATATTAATGAGAGGTAGGGGTGAGCTACACAGCGTGTTCGCAAAAGTCGAATATACAATCAATTTGCATGTATTCGAGCGTGATTAAATATACCCGCGAATATATACACGAAACATTTGTTCTCGAATGAGCAAATCTTAATGTAGAATCGTGCGGAATGGAAGCGGTAGATGAAAACGCGGATAACACGCGATGTATATCGAGAGATCCAGTAAAATACGATGGGACCACGGGCTCATTTTTCATCGATTTTTTTTTCAGGTTTACCTGCTTGCGTAAATAAATACCAGCGTAGATGCAAATAGACGATTTCTAAAATTCCATTTCATTCTCGATTACTTGGATATTAAATGGAGTCGGGTTCCCATGGCGTGACGGCTAATGAAACTTTGAAACGACTTGAACCAAGCGTTTACCAGTGGCGTCTTGGTACACCTGACAGGCATCCGAGTACCTAAGGGGCATTCGTGTCTCTTGACACATGACAGACACTGCGACGAGTTGTTGGAGGTCTTAAAAGTTTAGCCGGATTTAAAATTCTACGCAATGTGCTGACTATAATTTGGAATCTTATTCTCAAAAATATCGCATACGAAAATGAAAAGAAAATCTTTAATAATATAGTAATGTATTTCTTAAGACTGTGTTAGGCCTGATTTCACCAGTGTGAGATATGTTAATTATAATCTCGAGTTACTTTATTGTCTACTTTTTTCTAAAAGTCTTGGAATTAGAATAAGATAAAAAGTAAATTGAATCAAGATTAAAGTTAATCTTACATTGGTGAAACCGGGTCTCTAAGAGTGAAATTTTACTCCTAAAGATCGAAAAGTGAGCCACTCTTTTCAAGATTGACTCAATTTTCATTCTTTAGAGTGAAATTTCACTCTAAAGAATTTAGAGAGCATACTATAGTATTTTCCTTCTTTTCTTATGCGATATTTTTCAAGAATACCGCTCCAGCGTTTTCCCATTTTGATCAAATCTCAATTCCAACGAAAATATCATATCGTATTTTTTGATGAGTAGTTATTGCAAAGCATTTGAAACTGATCTATATACATACAATACTTTAGGTCGAAATATAGGTTCAAAGATAATTTAAACTTTTTCTGTGTGATTCAAACGACAAGTTAAGTGTATATGAGTTTCTATAAATTTTTATATCACAAAACGGTTTTTTTGTGATACACGTGTAATAAAGATAATGGAATAAATATACACGGAATTGAGTTCGCGCTTATTCCATTGATAAATGGAATAGAATCACGGGAACTTCGGATACATTCATCGACGTGTTTTTGTTCGCGAAACGTTCGCGATTTGCGAATTTAATCGTCACACACATTTTTCACAGCATAGAGTATGAGTAACGATTGTAAAATGAAAGAGCCACTCTCTCCTTCCTGTCACGCGTGTTTCAGCGGATATTACCCGTGAAAAATTCATCATACACGACGAACGAGCGTAATCGATTAGTGAATATTCGTACATCAAAGTTCGTTGAACAGTGAGAATCAATAATCATTCGCCGTGTGATTAGCAGCATTCTCAATAATCAGTCACGTTTGAATACCGCATAAATACTATAAATATTCTTGAATAAACACCTCTGGAACTAGTGTCAGAATTTGACTAATAATAATATGCAAAATAAAGCCAAATTAAAGAAATTGACTAGACCGGACTCATTATTTCCTACACATAGAAAACAAAATTGGAGCTATCGCTGTGTTTAACAAAATTGTGGAAGTATATGCAACACATATTCCGAAAATCTATAAATTACTCTTAGAACTTGACTTTGAAACGCGTTAAATCATTAGAAAAAAAATCGAGACTTTTAAGCAATTTCGAAAACAAAGGCGAAATTGTGTGGCGTATTTTTTTAGAAAACCTCTTCCTGTTGCTAAGATATTAAAATATTTTAATTTCAAATTAAAAATTGGAAATTCCACATCAATAGCCAAAGATAACGATAAACAACAAATTACTAGTTGATTTTATAAAATAACTCGTTTTCATAGATATAGAGCAGAATCATCCGTGTCTTTTAACAATTTTTTTAGAATTTTGAAACACTATACATTATAAATGTATAGATTGATTGTCTAATTATCTATAATATAATTTACTTATCAAAACTTGTTAAAATTGCTCGCATTCACTACGAGACATAGATGATACTATTAAACTAAAATTGCATATATTAGTTATTGTTTTCGAAAGTATACGTTCGATTTATCGTATACATGTAATTCGATAAAAACAGGCGGTGAAAACAAGGCATGAAAAGAGCGAGACGTTTTTCAGTAACTTTTGCGTACCAACGATATTTTCTATTACGTCGTCTTTACTGTTCGTTAAGATTATTAACTTTACGATGTAACGATACCAAATTAAGATTGGCGTACGATAAACGGGATACGACGTTGTCCGCATCGCAGCGCGTTTATCTGCACTCACTCATAGGATATTCATAGGATCTACTGACATTAAAGATAAGACGATAATGTACGGTACATTATACGGTGGATTTCGAATTAATTCTTAAAGAATTAAACGATAAACTCTTGCAACTTAATGAATTTCTCAGTATATGTCTGCAATCATGTATTATAGAAAAGAAAATGATTCGATTCAATAAAAACTTATGAAAATACTCCTGTGTACATTATTTATCTCCAACAATTCTCACTTGACCTGCATAAAATAGACTTTTCTTTTTTTAATTTATGAAAAAGGAATGGTTTAACTATTCGACACGATTTGCACGACAAATAAAAATGGATATGAAATGTATAAAAAAAGAGTATGAAAATACAGATGTGGCTTTACAACGCTACGATGAAAAGTATAATTGCACTTTATTATAAATTGTTTCAAGGTCCCCTTTATCATTGCTGCATTGTTTCGTTTCCTAATTCTAAAACGAACGCATTTATGAATAATTATTTGTCAGACTAGCGTATCGTTATAAAAATTTGGAAAGTTTATATATGAAAATCTAATCGTTTATATTAACTTTAATCATCCTGAACTTTCATACTAGCAATCCCTCCTTCACAAAATTGTCCTAAACTTAAGCAATATAGTAATAACATGCTCGTATGGATATATTCTTATTTATACATATATGTATATATATATATATCTCTTCTGTATATATATATTTAATATAGAGAACCTTACTTTTTATATATATATATATGTAACAGGCTCTTAATTTGAAGCTGCAAAGGGACTTGATATATATAACACTTAATTCACTTTTATAATACAAATGTGCGTTACTTCTCCATAATACATGTTTTATCCAAACTTTCATAAAACTGCAATTTCTTACTATCTAGTAAGCAAAACCAATAGTAGCACTTACATAGCATTTTACAGCTCAATGATAGCAAATGTCAGATTTTCAAAGTCACTTTGCAGCTTAAATACAATACTTTATTTCCAAAGCACGATAGAGCTAGTAAAATTTGGATAACAAAAAATATATAGTATTTTACAGTACCGTTTCATTATATTATTAATCTTAAATAAATTGTTATCTGCATACAGGATGCACAGTGTATGCACAAAGATTTGTCCATGGCAACGCTAAAACTAGATCACTCTTCCCGAAGTACGGATAAACATTTCTTGAGCAATTCTGCATGAGACTGCGAACATAATGTATATATTTTTTATGTGTTGCAAAGTTTGAGCATAATTTAAGAAAATAAGAACATTACACTCACTTTAGCATGTTTTATTTCCAGTTCTGTTAGCTCAATGAGATTCTTCTTAAATGCAGCTACTCGCCTAGTTTTGAAATCCATTAATTCTAAAAAAATATTATTACAAGCATTTTAGTAACAATGTCTCACTTGGAAAATAATCAATATCATTCTGTAAATTATGTGACAAACATTGCACAATTAAAAAAAAAATAGAAATAATGTTAATTTCTCTTAATCTATTTATCTAATACAAAATGATATTGAGGGCACAATTTTTAAGTAAATAATATATAATTGTACCTATTTTTACATACCTTCTTTTCCCTTATCAGACATCTGTTCAAATTTCTCACATGCTTCAGTTTGTGCTTGTTCCGCCTTAATTGATAAAAACAAATTTACAATATTAAAATATTAAATACACACATTTTTATTTAAAACTTTCAATGCGATTATATAACAAAATATTCATCAGCAAAATTCATATCATTTCTACCATAAAGTGTTATCAGACCATAAATTATCTAAATTATCAAGACAATACTGCATGCAACCGTCATTCATGCACAATATTTCTGATAACTTCCGTGCTGCAGCAACTATTATAACTTGTGCCAATTTTCTAGTTCAATAAATGTAATAGCTTCATAAACATATATATATATATTTTTTTTACATATTAATTATGTAAATATATCTGAGTATAATAAAAAAAAAAGTAGAAATCTTGCAACAAGTATTTTTAGTTATATTTTTTCCAGCAAAGAAATTATAAAATTATCTTACTGTATTTTAAAACCCCATAAATATAAAATTCATAATATAATAACATAATATACTAACATAAAATTCTCAGTTTCTTTTATTTATAAAAAAAAAAACAAGATAATTTATATATGAAAAAGTTACTAAATGTTAATTTTAATTAATCGTTTTGATAATCCATTCATTTGATAAAAATATTGGCAATAAGATCTAATGCTTTTTAAGCACTACAACGAAAAATATATGTAGGACACAAACAACATGACACACCTCAGCAACCTCCAGTGCCTTGAAAAGCAAGAAAAATTGAAGTTCTGATTAGATGCTACTCATGACTACAAACCATTTCTAGTATCTAATAATTGCAGTTTCAATTTAGCCGCCAGAGATTAATTTAATTAAATATTCATTTGTATTTATTTCCCGTACCCTAAATTTTTGTATAGTATTTTATTATGACAAATTAGCCGAGGATATTATATAAATTCGAGAATTACAGAAAAATGTGCACTTACTGCATGAACATCTTTGTTTTTGGCACGAGCTTTCTCAAGAGCACGATTCGCAGATTCATACTCATGTAAAGCTTTCAATCTTCTGAAAAGAAGTCTCTTAGCTGCGGCTGTATCTCTCATATAATAACGAAGAGTATCTGATAATTTTAAATCTTCATCCGATGCTACCCGTCCTTCAACTTTCTGCAAAAACAAAAGTATTTTTATAATAGATTTAATTTAACTGAAATAAAAATTTTAAAAAATATTCAGAAATGTGTTCTCACTCGTAACTTCTCGAAAGTTTCGGCAATTTTAGTTAAAAATCTCTCGAGTTTTCCAGTATCTGTTGTAGCTAGTTGTAAAAGATTAGTGGAAATTCTTATATATGAATCTGCTACATCTTTGTGTTTAGATGTTTGACGATCAGCTAATCTCGTAGCTTCTTTTAAATTATGATGGTAAGTTTGAAGAAATGTCATTTCTTGATCAAAGAAGTCATTCACATCCTTTACTGTAGCTGACAAGTAATATTCGTCGGTGGTTTTGGAAAATGACTTCACCAAACCACCAAACATTTCCATTTTATTCTTTCCTGTAAAAATGAACAAAACAGTTTATAAGCATCTTAATTTCTATGTATTGCAATGTTATGCAATGTTATGCAAAATGTAGAAACATTACCTCGTACACAAAGATCTTGATCATACTCTAAAAAGACCCTCAAATTATGATCATTCCGAAAAACTGGGTGATGTGCCAACCTAGTCAAGAACATTTCGTGCATAGCAACAGTTTTTTTGAATGTGGCTAAGTATTCTCTGCAAAGTCACAAAACGTAATAAAATTAAATCTTATCCAACCTAAATATATATAAATATATTAATATATAACCTATATAAATCACATACAGAAACACTCACGCTTCTAGTTCTTGTTTCATTTTATTGAATTCTTCACGTGTCATATTTCCTTCACCTTCACCAAGTTTTTGTAATTTCTCACGAGATGCATCAAAGTCTGGCCTTGGTGGACATGGTGGAATCTGTTATAATATAGTTTTAGTTAAAATATCAGTTAATTTTTGGCATTTGAGTGCCAAAAAGAGCACAATCATTTTTATATTAAAAAAATGTCACTGAGCATAATAGAGATTTCCCTATTTTGTGTCAAACATTATTTCAATAATGACTACCCAAATCTTGATAGTATTGCCATAGAAACAAGATGCTTCGATATAACAGCTCTATTGCTAATATAAGTCTAGCACTTTTTACATAAATTTCTGTGATTGTGTCTGGCATTCAAATAGCAAGATATCCATCGATATCAGAATTACAATATCAGAAGATTCCACACATACAATATAACCAGCATACTCTTCATTTTCTTCAAATCGATCATGGAGCCACACAAATTCTTCGTGTTGCCTCACAACTAGATTGTCTGGTTTTTGGAATTCTGGTAGGGTTGTTTTCGTATGTACAGTAAACTTGACTTTGTCTTTCTCGCTGAGAGCGTCTGAGATGTCTACCTGCAGGGACTTATCCGAGAGGTCTATGGTATCAGCATGGATTGTCTGAAAAAGTCCCATCAACAGATATAACGGCGTCTAGTTATTACCGAGAATGCGATAACAAAAGAGGGGAAGACAGAGAGGGCGTACAGAATAATCGCGATAATACGCGTGTTATCAAGCGGAAAACAATAGAAGCAAAGGATGTGATAAAGAGAGAAACGTTATAAATACCTTCTTAGGAGGAACGCTATTTAAAATGTCAGTGGTGTCACATATTCCGTCCTGTAACATTTTTCACGTATTAGAGAGCGCAAAACACATTCGAAGGAGAAGTACACTTTGCAGATAATTCGTGCCGACGTTTCACGTCAAACAAGCAGACCGCTAGTCACCGATTGATAATAGGTTCCACCTACCATCATGGCGTCGACTGGCGTCGTCCCGTTGACACACAGTGGTTAACAGCAACTCGATTAATAGGATCGTCTCGTTAAATAACGTATGTTCAACTGTCGCGCAGAGAGCGAATAACGATAAACGGAGCAAGCCGACTAGACTGTTTCAAATAACCTTCGACACGTTAGATTAAATGACGGACAACCTGTCAAAATATTAACTGTCAAAACGAACGTCTCTAGTGGACACGGGGGTGAATTAAATCAAAATATGGCGTCTCTACCGCTAAATTTAAATAATTTTGTCCGATTATATATGTGTGTATGTATATATATATTATATATATTAAAGAGAGAGAGAGATTGCTGTCATATTATTTTGCTTTTGGATTATATTTTTTAAGCTAAAAATGAAACTTTGAAAATACAAATTCAAACTGGAAAGTATTTCCTATCACATGATATAATAGTTTTTTAAATAATGTTCGGAACTTTGCGTTAACTTCTTTGTAAGAAAAACAAAAAGAAGTGCCGGACAAAATAACAGTTACAAAAATATTTCGCGATACATATATCGTAAACACTAGCAGTCGATACTTATTTATAAAGTCTGTTTGTCCAATAACTTTGCAGAAGTGACCAATCATTTAGTTTTGACGACAGACGTGATTGAACATTTCCAATGGACTAATCGGCCGATTAAAGTTAATCGGAGTTGATGAAAGTGGTCCTTATTGCACCAGTTCATCAGACAGTGCAGGAATAAAGAACAGACGCGTTCAAACTGAAAGTGCCTAACTTCAGGTTCAGGCGTGAGGGCGCAACCAGTCGCGAGTATATTGCTCACCTGGTGACGTACTTCGCGCAAATGCGCGTTTGTTCAAGTAGGGCGATCTTTACCGGTCTACTACTTCCTCTTCTCGTGACTTGATACAATGGCGTCCGGAGTAAGTAGCTTTCACGAGGTTTTTCACCGGTTGACATCCGCGCCGTGAAGCGCCAACGCCGGCGTCGGATTGTCAGAAAACAAAGCCCACACAATGCGTTATCCGCCCCACTGTGAATTTCTTTCAGATTCTTTACACGTATCCGGAAAATTTCCGAGCCTACAAGGCCTTGGTAGCAGCTCAATTCTCTGGCACCCAGATTAAAATTGCCGATGACTTCGTTTTTGGCGAGACTAACAAGAGCGAAGCGTTTCTGAAGAAGTTTCCATTGGGAAAGGTAAGCCGATTCACTCGTGTTATTTTTGTTAGGCTTTCGTACAAATTTTTTTTTTAGTTTGTATACACAGTGTAAAATTAACATGCTTTTTCTCGTCACATATGACGAGACGGAGAAAATATTTTATTAATACTGGTACTTTTGGTTTATAACAAATTATCGTTAAATATTCAGGTAACGTTTCTTTATTTAATATTCTAATTGTTTTCGTATTTAAAACATTCTAATATACAAAACTTTTGCGATTCATATGGTTAGAATTGGCGCACATGTTCTTATAGGAATATTCAATCGTGTATAATAAATTTGTGTAATATAATATATACAAATAGAATAATAAGATGATTAATTTTTTTTATATCGGAAACAAGAAAAAATGAGTGAGAAAAAAAAGAAGAGTAGGAAAGAAGGATGGGGATAGGGACAGAAAATTTTTTCATCATCAGCTGCTATCTATATACATTGTAATATATAATAATAGGACATATTTTCCAACATGTAAAATTTTTAAGGTCCCAGCATTTGAAACCCGCGATGGAAAATATATTACAGAAAGCAATGCAATTGCTTATTATGGTAAGATTTCCTTAAAAAAATTATTTGTATATATTTTTCCCTAATATATATCTGTTTATTTATGTATATATATATATATATACATATACTATATTTATAGTGGCTAATGATCAATTGAGAGGAAAAACTGAGATTGAACGTGCATTGGTTATTCAATGGCTAGGATTCGCTGATTCTGAAATTCTTCCTGCCAGCTGTGCTTGGGTGTTTCCTTTACTTGGAATAATGCCATATCATAAACAGGTATTATTATAAATTTTTTATTTATTATATCACTCTTATTCATATTTATTTATTTTAACTATACATCCTCCTTCAAAGGCAAAATTGGCGCAACATAGCCATTTTTTGTAACTCAAAGAGGTAGATTAAACTTTATGGATATAATATTTATACAAAAAGCATAAGCGTTTAAGAAGCATATGCTTTTATAATACTACATATACATATATATATATTTATTCATATATATTTATTATTTGATACATGCTCGTAAAGTTATGATATAAAATACTAACATTTGTTAATTAAATTTATGTTCTTTTATTTAGACTGTGGAGCATGCTAAAGAAGATATATTTAAAGTGTTAACTGCTTTGAACTCTCATTTGCTTACACGAACTTACTTAGTGGGAGAACGATTGACTTTGGCGGATATCTGTGTAGCTATGACATTGCTACACTTGTATCAATATATTCTTGAGCCAGAACTACGTAAACCTTACCAGAATGTAAATCGTTGGTTCCAAACGGTCATTTATCAACCTGAATCCATTGCTGTAATTGGTGCCTTTAAATTGGCGGATAAAACTATTGAGTATGATCCTAAGAAATTTGCAGAAACTCTAGGAAAGGTTAGTATAACAATAAAGATAGGTAATTGCAAAAATAAGATTAATATATAGTAAATTATTATTTTATACACACAGAGTTCAAAAAAAGAAAAGAAAGAGAAAGAGTCTAAAAAGGAAACTAAAGAAACTAAGGAGTCTAAGAAAGAAAGTAAAGTTGTAACAGATAAGATTACAGCAGTAGAAGATGAAGCTGACGCAACGGAGGAGGCTTTAGCTGCCGAGCCAAAAAAGAAGAATCCCTTTGCTTCGATGCCTAAAAGCTCATTCGACCTTGAAGATTTCAAACGATTTTACTCCAATGAAGATGAATCTAAATCGATTCCTTATTTCTGGCAAAAGTTTGATCCAGAAAATTATAGTATTTGGCTTAGCGAATATAAGTACAATAATGAATTAACGAAGGTATATAGATACTTGAAAGTAATTAAAAAATTGAAAAGTATCTTACAATTAGTCATTAACATGCGTGCTTTTGTGTTGATGTAGGTTTTCATGTCCTGCAATTTAATCAGTGGTATGTACCAACGATTAGATTCATTGAGAAAAGGTGCATTTGCTAGTTGCTGTATATTCGGAGAAGATAATGATAATACGATCAGTGGCATTTGGGTCTGGCGAGGACAAGATCTTGTTTTCGCAGTAAGTGTACCAGTACTTAAATGGGATTTATTTTCTTCTTACGTTAGGCCTCTGGGACCCTATTCTTGAAAAATATCGCATACGAAAATCTAAGGAAATACTATAACATACGTTACGTATACTATAGTATTTCCCTACTTTTTCGTATGTGATATTTTTCAAGAATAAGGCCTTAGTGTGCTGTCATGCTACACTCGTGTTCAGCTGACATATTTGTGGTAAAACGTAAATGTTTTTTTTTTCTCTAGCTGAGTCCAGATTGGCAAGTGGATTTCGAATCTTATAGTTGGACAAAACTTGATGCATCTAAAGAAGAAACAAAGACATTGGTCGAGCAATATTTTAGTTGGGTTGGCACAGACAAAGAGGGACGCAAATTCAATCAAGGAAAAGTTTTCAAGTAAAATCTTGCATCAAATAAGGAGACAAAATAAAGACAGAAAAATCTATTCGAATAAAATAAATTTAAAGAAATGATAAAATATCAGAAAAAATTTACATACGCCCTTTAAAAACCCTGTATTAAAGATAATCACCTGAGATCTCTTTGCCTAAATACATGTTCCTTTCTCTCTATCTTAATATGAAATTTCTTGTATACATAGACATACACTGTTTTATATTATATGTATTTTTAGTTTTCAAAATGTATACAAGATTTTATCTTGTATGTACGTGTGCATGTACATATATGTGTACGCACATACAATATAACATATAAAAGTAAGATTTATGTATCATCTAAAAAGTTTTAAGAAATTATTTATTTTTATCTCGATACGATATTTTTTATTATTTTTTATTTATATCTGCCATTCTTGATTGATTGATACAAACTGTTGGTTCAAATTGAATGAATCTTGAATAAGAAAAGATACGTATATGTATGAGTAGAGAAAGCATCCATATTTTACACTCTACGTTAAGTTTACAAAAAATGTAATAATTTTATTACGAAAGACCGTTTCATATATATGTATGTATTTGTGATGTGTATATATATATATATATACACACACACATACATTATGTATACATACATATAGATTTGTTGCAGTGATTTAATTTGAAATACTACATTCATATGAAATACTACATCTTGATTTTGATATTTGTATAATATTTATATTGAGAATTGAAGATTGTTACATATGCAATATATATGTACTTAACACATACTTAATACATTTTAAAAAGATGTATGGATAATTTCTTGAGTATTGATATAAGCATGTATTTTCACAGAAATAAATTGGATATTGTTAAAGTCCTAAAATAATGCTTCCTATTTTCCAATAAGTAAAAATATTTGCATATTGACAAATGAAGAATATGAGATACGACTTCTTAATTGAACAAGAGTTACAAATCACTTGCAAGATATTAGGATAATTTTACAAGACAATAGTGAATATACAATAACAATTTTGTAACAAAAATTTGGTATTTATTGTATATTTACAAGGTACAATTTGTTATGAAAACCAATGTGATTTTTAAAAACCTTTTGTATTCATCCATTCTTTAATACAATTAACGTAGTCACCTTTAATTTTAATTGTACCTGCAAATTCGTGTATCTGGCTAGCAATTTTTTTCCTTGTATGTTCTTCTACATGTTGTTTTAAATCACGTTCCAAATCCCATATATTTCCTTGAATTTTAGTTATTTTTGTAACTCTTTTAGTTCCTCTAGGATTTCTATACAAATATACAGACTGCATGTGATTCTTTGAACGTTCTATGAAGTAAGCATTATCTGTAGGCGAAGCTGTTAAATTAAAAGAAAAAATACATTAGTCTGAAATAGCACTTTGGTTCACATATTTTTGATGCAAAAAAATGAAACACGTAAATGAAATATATTTGATAATTTTCATACCAGATGCTGGTTTATAGCCAGATGGAAATTCATTATTTTCAGCTGGTTTAGGTATAATTTTGGGTCCAAATAAACGCTCTACATATTTCCACTCGTTTTCATCTTTGGTAATGTCGTAATCTGTGTAATCTTCAGGTGTTGTATATTTGGAAGATGATTTGTAACTAGCCCATCTGTGTTGAATCTGAAAATAATGACAAAAATATGATTTGTGGAAAACTTGACATTTCTTATCATAACAATCAGCTCTGTCGTTATCAAGTTGAATTTTGTATTATTAGGTAAGAAACATCAAAAAAATTTGCATTTTCACTCAAGCATAAAAATTATACAATTGTAAAAGTAAATAACAATAACATGTAATCACTTCATTTAAGATTCACCGATACTATTAAACAACTCACATAATTGTAACAGGAAATCTTGAAAGAATTGAGTCGAAAATTACCAACAAAGTCGACGACCATACAAAAGATGCTTAAACGAAATTGTTTCAATTATCCCGAGATAACGAAGGAAAGGCCGTAAAGAATTGCGTTAAACTCATCTGGAGGAACCTAACACGTACCTGAGAGACTCGCGTCGTCGTGACGCAGTTTAACAACTGTACAGAATTCGAGACCGCGACGAGGTTACCGCGTGCGAAAACCCGAAGGGCGGCCATTTTGAAAACTATAGTAAATAAGGGTCGGCGCCGTCAGCGGCCATTGAGATGAGCACTGTACGGCCGAGACGGGCGCGGACGCGTCCTCTCTCTCTCTCTCGTCTTAACTCGTCTTAACTCGTCAGCGCTCGTCAGCACTCGTCACTACGGCCGAGTTGAGCCGAGTCTAGACTATATGGAGGTCTGGACCAGGACCGCGGCGAGTCTCGTATCGCGGGCAACCGCGTGCCAACTCGCGGCGCTATCGTGACATTAATTTTTTTTCGTTCGGTATCAGGCCCGCGGGCCATTAGGCCACTACTGCCGTCGACGGCGACGAGCGACGAGGTAGGTGAACGTGGTCGTGCTGGCTCGCCAGCGCCAGCCAGCGCTCGCCACGCTACGAGTTACGGGTATTATAGAATCTGGGCTCCGTAAAGTACTCTGTAACGCCTGTAATAACCTGTAACGCGGGGGTCAGTTAGCGCGCACGTACCGTAGCATTTCCCGAGTGGTAGAGCCGCGGAGGCGGGGCGGCGCGAGGTGACGCGACGCGGCGGGATAAAGTGAAGTGAAGAGCGATTAGCAAAGTGAAGTGAGGTGTGAACACGTAACTGGTGGCCGTCGTTGTCGCTACTCTCCCGGTAGCCGGCGTCGCGACGACGTCCCCGACGGTGCTTCTTCCACCTCGCATCGTTTCGAGAGTCGGCGCGACCGCTCGGTGTCCTACCATCTCGAGACCGGACCGGGAGTGGCGAGACCAGGTGAAAAACCTAGTGGAAAAAGCAGCGAGAACCCGCAGAGCGCAGGGGTGCGATCGCGACCAAGCGGAGCAAGTAACGCCTTGTTATCGCGAACGGACTATGCTCCTGGGACGAGTCGTTCGCCACGGCCGTCAGGTGGCGGTAGCCGGAAAACAGTGGGACGGCGCATAGACACCCTACAACGGGACTGTTCTTTCCACGGGGATTGTTGTTCGCGTTTCATCGCGATCATCACGGACCTACGGCAGGATTTTCAGTCCCCAAGGTGAGTACCGTCGTCGGGGTCGCGAGGGGGCCTGTGATCGATCGCCGCTTCGGCTCCACCGCGTCACGCTACCGTCCCGAAAGTTCGAGTCGAGCTCCGACCTTTTGTTTATTCGTAGCGATTTTTTTCGTAACCATTTCTCGCGACGATTTCACGGCCTTCCCGCAAAGTCCCGAGCCGATTTCTCGGTTCGATAGTTAGCATGTGGCGCGCGCTTTCTCGCAAGCGCGAAATTGTCGCGAACGGCTTAACGGGAGCCGAGATATCGCACGAAATATTTCAGTCGTGCGAGAGCGGCTCCGAGTCAGCCGAGTGTCGAGCGCTGAGCGCTGAGCGCACCGAGCGAGGCGCTCCGTGCATCCGTGTGTTAACGCAAAGTTTGTCACGTAATTTTTCTGGTCGCCAGGGCCGCATCTAGCAACCCCGCTATTCACTCTACTAGGTATCCTCTGCCGTCTCCGACTCGACGCTGCGCCGCGCGTCGTGCAGCCACTTTTCTAGCTCCCTGTTGCCCTTCCGTCGATCTCTCTCTCTCTCTCTCTCTCTCTCTCTCTCTCTCTCTCTCTCTCTC